CCATCGGAGTTGCGCAGAAATCTAGGAGGAATACGTCACTAAAATTCGCCGTTACGACAGAAGCATGAAATTGAGTATATGATACATTAGGGTCCGGTTCATTTCATCGACAATCATTTCGCCGACAGTACGTTTCACCGACATAAATTTCATCGAAAACCAATGATAAGTGCGATAAACAATGTGTCACGTGAAATGACTGTCGGTGAAGTGTACTGTCGATGAAATGATTGTCGATGAAATAAATGCCTCCCGATACATTATGGTTAACGTATATGCATGCATTATTATAGTCTTGATAATAAATAATAAAATACGTTGCCTTCATTAATTATTCAATTCCAATTTGACATATGTCAATTCTAGATTGACATAAATTCCAAATTGACATACAATAAAGTGATTGTCAGGGAAATGAACGGATCCCAAACTAACTCTAATTTTTTCTTCCTTCCCTTTCTTTCTTCCTTGGTGGAGTTTCTGGGTAATCAAATCCAATTGGACGCTTGATGGATGTGGAAAGGTCTGAGGTACCGATTTGGTAGCCTCTTAGCTATTTGTGAAGAAACTGATGCACACCAGTTTGGATGCAATAGTTGTTGTTGTTTATCTATCGTTTATTTATATGTCTATTTGTTTATCTAATGTAAATACTGTAATTTACCTAATTATAATGTAACAGTATTTGCTGCTACAGTAATTTGTACTTAATTTATGATAGTGTATTATGGTATTTAAATGTAATTCAATTGATAATATTGAGACGTTACAAAAAATTGAAAAGAATAAGCTGAGAGAAAAGAGCTGGCAAAATTTTTTTTTTACTTATATTAAGTTACTATTGTTAAATTCAGTATGCTCTTAAAATTAATAAATTTTTTATTTGCTAAGAGTCAAACACGACTCTGAACGTAGTATACAACGCAGTGTGTTTTACCAAAGGCTTGCTCTAACGTTGAAAAAACAATTACAGAGGCAGACTGGAATAAGTCGGCTGCTTTCTGATGCCTTATTGCGTTGATCAACTTATCGTAAATTACATAATTAATATTAGTATTATAAGAGCACGAACCTCTCCAATACAGTTATTGTCGAGCCGACCGAAAGACTCAATTCGTATTAATATTGCAAAGCGATATTCAATGAATATAGCCTCTCCGTAAAAGACTTTAAGTATTGTAAATATTACAGATAAATTGAAACACTAAAACACGTCGGGTAAACAATAAGATGCTACGATTTCAAATCGCATATTTATTTGCTAGTTTTTCGACATTATCACAATATACTGTATATGATCGTGCAACGTCAATTGGACAAAAAAATATAACATTTAAATCTTCTCCAAGGAATTGTTAAAGACTTAAATTGTTTCCATAATTTGTGCGCAAACTAAATGATCTTTGTTGAAGAACTATCTTCGATACTTGATCTCTAGTCAGACTACTCGGACTGGCAAATTTTGTCAACTGTTTGCTTCTTTACAGAAAGAATTTACTAAATATATCCCAATATCATATCCCCCAGCTAAAACAATTTAAAGTTTTTAGTCGATATAAATGTTACTACTGCCGTGTCATGTAGTAAAGTAAGTAGTGTAAACCAAATTGTCATCCTGTATAATCAATGTCTTTATCACGTATAATTTAAGCAAGGAATGAGTCTTATGGTCCAGTCTTAAAGTAAAAATAACCTCTAAAAAAATATATGATTGCTAGCATGTGTTGTACCTCAGTTCGGGACTTGTCCCAGTTCTGGACCGAGACACCTGAAATGTCTGAGTTCTGGACTGAGACAACTGAGTTCCGGACTGAGATGATTGAGTTCTAGATTGAGATGGTCCCGAACAGATCATTACACAACATTTTTGCATGACCGATAACATACGTATGTATACAGCGTGTCACAAGCTATTGGATAGTCGTTTTATACCAAACCATCGTAACAGGTCAGCCAAAAATGTCAATCTGTTAATTGCTTGGTGCCTATCGAAAAGAAAATAAACCGTATACTCAAGTCCATACAGCAAATATAGCTACTAGTTAGTTTAAAAAGCGCAAGAGATGCATATACATGAACCGGTACAAAAATGGCGAAATCGATCGCTATTACTGTCGCATCAAAGTTGTGTGCAACTCTAATCCCACCTTTTTTTCCCATAAAACATACTTGTGATCGGGGTTTGTTTATTTAGTAAAACTTTTGGGATTGGCTGACATTTAGGGGCATTATCTTTTTGCAGATGGGGATTTGAAAATGCTTGGCGTTTTTGTGAAACAAACGCTATAGGCGTAGATACAGTGTGGGACAAAAAAATCCGGAATTACAAAATTACGCATTACGCAAGAATTTGAAAGCTGAAAACCAGCGTTCACCGTCACTTTCTATGACAAGCTCATGTCGGCGTTTCATTGATCGTACTAACCCAATTAGGGTTGATTGTGGAATATCACCCCACTCATTATCGCTTTTCTTTTCTACGATACTCCTCAAGATTCTCTTGGATTTAGGTCAGGACTGTTAGAAGGCCATTCTATTACCTCAGGAATTTATCCCGAAGAAAGTTTTTTTGCGAGGTGGCTAGTATGTTGTCTTGTTGAAAACGCCATTCGTCTCCTAACAAGGATTCAATTTCTGGAAGTTGTCTCCGGAGTATGTCAACATAGAATGTTGCATCCATTATTTCGGAGAAGCAAAGAGCTTTGTTGGACCCTTTTAGTGCAAAATTAGCAGTTCGCCGAATAAATATAAATTCTTTATCTGACAATCATTTTACAATTTCCATTGTTTAAATTGACCCAAAATTGCGGAGATATGCACGATTGAATCTTACAGCAAAAAATTCCGTTTTTTTTTTGTCCCACACTGTATATGCTCTCGGAAATAAAGTTTGAGAATAAAGTTTGAGATTTTGGTATAGTCTATATCAAATACAATGGATGTAAATCACGAATCCGCAACGTGTGAAACTATAATGTACTGGTGTCCTTTTAACGTTAACGCCCGCTTAGTAGGAGAAGTACCACCCTAACTATATAGGAGCAAATGATATCGTTATTTTTATCAAAATTCATATACTTGCAAGAGCCGCATGTTGCTGCAAATAGACGGTATTACGGGGGGCTCAAGCAATATATTGTACGTGATGTGAGTACGCCCTACTTACTCATAGAAAGACATCGTGTAATATTGCATAACAGACATGTTTGCTTCAGCCGCAATGTTGAGTTATCAAATGAGATGTCGGCACATTGATAAACCTAAATCTACCTTGTAGAACGTCCACTTTATACCATGTTGACTCCGTTTTATTGATAGAGACTTGTACCAGGCATTTTCCTAGACAGGTTAATTTTAAAGAATAGAGACGGTTTTTTTACGAAATGTCTTATAGTGTGAGAGATAAAGCTACCAAACGAATTAAAACTATAAACTCGATAAAAATGTCAGTGTTAATTTTTTTATAAACTAAAGCCACGAATTTGTTGTAATCAGTTGTCTTAAAATTTTTGCGAGGCTTTTAATGAACCCTCGTTGATATACAAACCATAGTACAAACTGTCTTATTTATGACAGATAAGATTCTTCGGGTACCCAATATTTCGATATTTTAAATTATCTTTATTAGTGATAAATAACATTCACCAAAACGACGTAACAGAGCCCCCGTAACAACGGAGAAAAAATGTCTAGATTTAGACATAGATTCACATGGATCACAAAAAAAATATTAGGTTGATGAATTAAATAGCTGTACAAAAGCACGTTGTACAGCGTATCGGAAAGAACCTTCGAAATAATAGGCGTTTATTCACGTTTGTATTTGATACAAAGGGATCTTACCCTTTTTTTGCATAATGCTTGATGATGCAAAATCTTGGACCACAGCCTCAGTGAGCAAATATGGAATACGAAATGGGACGTTTAAGTTTCTGTATAATTTAAAGTACTATTATTAAGTTGTTTTGCTTGAATTGTATGTAACGAGGCGCTCAATACTATTTGTCAAAGTCAATTTAAAAGTAAAGCCACTTGGACTATTTCTAACGGTAATAGCAGCATGATAGTACATACCTTGATTTGAAAAGCTAAATAGTTGATTTGTGACTGCTACATTATAAATTGATGTTAATATTACGATCGCCATTTGTAGTCATTCGTGTAAAATTATTACTTGATAACATATCAAATAGTAGGAATCTTAAAATTTATTGTATACCTAGTTTGGGTTTCACCGGAATTTTTTTTCAATCGTTACGTTAATAATTAGTGTGCAGCAGCACACCAAGGGTCCAATGTTCCATTCGTGTAGCAAGAATTTATTTCTATAATCTTTTTGCAGGGTACGTCAAGTTGCATAGACGGTGAGACATTAGGAACAGACTCTTTGCATTTGTTCTTCGAACGAATTTATTCAAATAGCTGGATAGTCTAAATTTAACTTGAGAAAATTGCAGGAGGCTTATGTATAAATCTCGAGGCATTTTTGTATAATGGTGATGCATTTCAAAGTCGCAAAGTAAGAAAACTGCTGATAGTAAGTTGCTACTAAAAAAAACAAGCTGTAAATCTAATGTTGTTCTCGCAAACTGATTATCATTTAACAAGATTGAAAGCTTGTATAATTCGCGATGTATTGTAGATCGCATCTTTCTCATTTCAGGAAGACATAAATGGAGCGTGCTTTTTTTTCTTTCGATCTGGTGATTTATCCGCATCGACAACGGGTGTATTAAAAATGGAAATGAAGCATTGTAAGTAAGGTTTATACTAACCCCTGAAAGCGACTATCTGCATCAAATTATAATTTAGCATTTATAAAACCATCTTTGACCACTCGCATCGTTTGTATCACATCTCACAAAACGAACCTTACATTTGCATATTCCTTAGCGCAGTCCATTATTTTGGAAGTTGCACACAAAAAATCTACGCATTGCATTCCCTATATAAAGAGACAATAAACATTTCACATTTATTCCCATCGTTTTTTATACGACATGTCGTTAACCTCGCTGATCATATCACTTTCATTCTGGGACGCTCTGACTATTCTTTGGTCTTTTGCTCTCATTTACACCATCAAATTCTACCTCTTGTATTTTACCCGCGAAAATCCACTGCCTGGTCCACTCCCACTCCCCTTAGTAGGAAATCTCCTGCAATTAGCCACAGCTGGCGATACAAGTAGATGGGCTTTACAATGTCAAGCCAAATACGGCGACATGTGGGAAGTGTATATTGGAAGCAGCAAATACATTTGGGTGGCAAGAGCCGATTTGACTGAGAAAATTATGGATACGTCAAAAACCAGTAATTATTTTATTCGGACGTCATCCAACAGTGGGATAGACATGTTGGGAATCTCATCAAGTGGCCTGGCATTCAATGAAGACAAAGAAAAATGGTTTTTCAATAGAAAAATTGTCGCTCAGGCTATTACCAATACAAAGTTCATAAAACAGATCACAGAATGGATTCAACAAGAGTTTGTCGAAATGGAGGGATACTTAATGGAACTCGGTTTCGACGAGAAGGCTTTTAACTGTTCTGATTGGATTAGAAGATTAGTTACGGATACAATTTTTGTAGCATCAATGAACAAGTACGCATGTACTTTGGCTTCCCTGTACAATTCTCACAACCCATCGAAACCAGCTCCGTATTCACGAGAAACAGTTGCCGAATCCGACAATTTTGTTCACGCCCTGAGGACATATTTTAGTACACTCGACTTCTTCCTGTTCATGCCTGACCTTATTCGTACCAAGACACCGTTTGGACGTCGACAAACTAAAATATACATGAACAATTTGTATTGGTTGCATGAGGCTCTGATGAAAATTATTAAAGGAAAGAAAGAGGAAATTAAGAACGAGCAGTCCGAGTTGAGGCCCGATCTCTTGACATTGTTGGCTACTGTGAACACCCCAAGAGACATGACACAAAAAATAAAAAGTACTGTCGAGGGACCCCTGACCGTTGAGGAAATTAGGACCTGCCTTCTTGATTTGCTGGTTGCAGGTATCGACACGGTATGACAATAATAATATTTAATATCAGATCTTATCGGTTTTTGTGCCACGATTCCGTATAAATGGCTTACCACAAACCCCTTTACAAATTACAGACGTCCAACTTGATTTGTTACATACTTTATTATGTAATTAAGAATCCAGAAGTCAAGAAGCGCCTCCAAAATGAACTCGATACCATCTACGGAGCTGATCCTATTCGTCCAATAACACATGAAGATTTGAATAAATTTGTGTATATAGAAGCTGTCATCAAAGAAACTTCTCGAATATTGCCTGCTACTGCTTTAAATATTCGAACGGCCGAGAGAGATGATACCATAGGTGGATATCCGATCAAGGTGAGTCTTTATGTCTCTCATTCCATGTATGCAATAAGAGTAACACAGTATGGCATGCATTCTTTCGTACGATATTTTATCCTTTTGTTCTCAACTTTTAACTGGTTGTTATTATTATTATTATTATTATTATTATTATTACAGGGCGGCCAACAAATAATAGTAAGCTTTGCTGGAATTCAACATCACCCTAAACATTGGCCTAACCCCAAACAATTCAACCCGGATCGCTTCCTAGAACCCAACGCTTCTAAAATTGAGAAACATGCGCTTCCAATGTTTGGCGGTGGGTTGCGCATCTGTCCTGGTAGACACATGGCAATGGCAGAACTGAAAGTGGTTATTGCCATGATATTCCGTAAATATGATCTTGAATTGGCTACAGCAGACACTGAACTAAAGTTTAAGTGCGACTTGGTGAATCATTGTTCCGAATTAATGTTAAGATTTAAACCTAGGACGAAAAAAGCCGTCCACTAAATGGGTGAAACCATTTGCAATATCCATGGAAAGAATGGGGTTTATTGTATATTATAGATTAAGGTTTTGGTCCATTCTCTTCCCTTGTCCGAGTTGTAAATTTGTTATTTAGTTAAATATATTTGGGTTATACATAGGGGAAAGTGGTGCAAATAACAAACATTCTATTAATATTATATGCTGTTTGAGCAGATCGGGAAATTGCAATCGGAATTTCCTTTGTACATGTATATTTAGTGATTGGTTTCTTCGTCGAGGAATAAAGATGTTAATATATATATATAATATTCGAGTGCCCAAACTTGCAGAAAATTGTTACCGCAAAACGTCTAAACGTTTCCGTACAATATTGAAACAAAGTCTTTGGACAGCAAACTATGCTAACTGCAATTAGAAATCACAGTTCGGGGCGTCAGTGAGGTATATATTAAGCTTAAAATTTGCAATTTTCGTGTATGACAAAATATATTAATTTATCAGGGGATCAAAGCGCTGCATAAAAGATATCTGACAATATAAAGATATCTGGCAACATAAGGATATCTGGCAATAAAATAGCGATCAGATCAACAAAGCTCTGGACCGAGACCATATTTACAGTCTAATTTATCTAGCAACTTTCTTGAACCTGTCTTTATTGATTACCATGAATATTCAATAGAGCTTTTGTCGAATGATATGATGCAGTAATTTGTACAAACAAACAAACAAACACATATAATCTGTGTGCCATTACCTCAATGTTTGCCCCCCCCAATGTGGATCTTCGGTCTGCTTTATCATTTAATCAAAATAAAAAACTGGTTAACTACGCCGAGATCGTTTGATATCCTAAATGATATTAACGGCTTGTCTCAAAAAAATTATATTTAATAACGTTGCACCTCTCTATTCAAAGATCGTCGCTTGCCATTCAAAGTTTATCTATTAGTGGATACGGAATATATTTACTAGCGTTAGTCAAAAGGGAGTAAAAATGTCAGTTATGGTTAAAAGTATTCTTTTACGGCAAATATGAGTTGTCAGTAAGACAATTTGAGTATGGGCAACGCATATTTTGTGTCGCAAGTATCGATCAACTTCTACCTTCGTTTGTTCCTAGTACTAAATGTTTGGTACAGAATCTTCCTTGAGATTTGTGACAAGATCATTGTTTCTAGATGCGTAAATTGGGGGGAAAATATTTGATTTGTGTACTATGAATATTGCAGCTTTTATTCTCATTGGTGTAATTTGGCTTGTAATAATTTATTGCACATGTCCCTTTGTTCTGCGATTGTTTTTTTTTATCCTATCGATATCTTGTTAGCATATATTTTAATGATGATGCAGGCGTGCCAATAGTTTTATTACACTTGACAAGTGCCAAGCTTTATTGGCACGCACTTTATTGATCCAGGCAGCCTATGGATAATGGACGACAAAACACATCATTACTTGATTGAATTAACAAATTGCTAAAGGTTAATATAAGAACGATAGTCATAATAAGAAATTGATAACCATAAAGAGTAGGTTAGTGTTAGCAGTATAAATAACGAATAGGTAATACTGTCTGCTGCCAAGGGAAAGAAAAACGCACATCTATGTAATTACAGGTCTGCTGTTGAATTATATGCAGGAATCATCGATCGTGAGCCTTTGCCAGCAAGATCGGAATAACTACAACTATTATATAACTGATAATACACAGTATTTTGGCAATCAGTTATTGGAATATTCTAAAGTGTTGTGGGTGGTAGTGTTCCCGTGCTGGCACGTTTTGAGTAACGTCTTGTCCCGCACATGTGATACAGTGTGAGACGCGGAAATAGCAAACGACCTGATACCCAAATATAACTGAAGTCTGACATAATTAACTAAATATAGCATGAGTATAAAATTGGTAGCAAAGTAGAAACTATCCTCACTTCCATTACATTCAAAATAATTCGATGCTCCGAATTATCGGAATAAATGATTAAACAAATTTCTATGCATTTTGAAAAAAGTTATTCTATAATCTGATAAAGAATCAACAAAGCCAATACGACATTACGGAGACCTTATTATTGTCCCTTGCCAATCCTTTTTTTTTATTATTTAAAAGTAGAGTCAACACAAGCCAAATGAAATAAGGCGATGGAATAAACGTTATTTGGAACAGCGACTTGCCACCTTTTTTTGGTGAAAATCAAGCGTATTATAATGTAGATACAGTAATAATTTACATTACGGGCATGGGTTGCAATAAAGTCAGGATATTTACATTGGCAACGAAGCTCTTTAATGTTATTGAAAAAGTTATCTAATGGGAGAATGAGCATATAAGCCCGATTTATTGTAATCGTCAGCAAAGACATTCGGCGTAATTTGCCAATGATCGAAGAGAATCTTCTCAGAGTTAAAGCTGGGAATAAAGCTAAATTTTAGCCTAGCAACCGGAATTATGATGGTAACTGACATGGTGTTTTTACCAAAGTTTTTCTTAACCATAAAAATTTGTAAATGCTTCGAGTTATAGTAATAGTAATTGATAAATAGAGCAAATTATAGGATTGATAGAATTAAATATTTTAAAAAATATTAGATTTTTTCAATTACAATTAATTAGTCTAAGGCTTTTACAAATCCAACTTTTATGACTTATTTGCTTTCATGCTTTTATTAAAGTTATCAATATTAACCGTGCCTCGTAATGGTTTATTTCTGCTAAATACATATCAATAGACTATAAACTGCTGAAACATTGTTTACAACTTGGGAAACTTGGTTGTCACCTCACTACTGAATGATCAAATTTTACTAATTTGATAATTACAACTATATAGCTCTCAACAAGTCTTATTTAACATATTGTCTAACAGGTATATTATAACCTTCCCAGTCTTTTAAAATACGTAATTTTCGTTGCTATCTGACCTGTTACAGGGTCATAATTTATCGTGCAGTCCCCGGCAGAAATAATGGGTGACAATCGGTTTATAGCCTCCATAAAAATCTAATAGAAAAATTGGTTTATCTATAATAATAATAATAATAATAATAATAATAATAATAATAATAATAATAATAATAATAATAATAATAATATGTAAACGCGTCATTTTTTTTTATTACTAATACGTCAGAGCGGATTAATAACATCCTTACATTTTATTCTCAGTTTAATTTGGATACATTATAAGCTTATGATAACTGTCTCGAAATCTGCTATAAAATGTTCGTGTTTTCAGTTCCTCCTCAGATCAATCTCTCAATTCTTTATTATTATTCCTTATAACATATAGACACTTACATCCTCTTATTCCACATTGACCTGCTCCCTCTCAAATAACTACCATTATCTTATATCTCATTAGAATTCTTTCATGTATGGCCTTCCTGCTGGCCACTTCTTTGTTTCACCTCTGACTCTGTCATGTGGGGCAGACTGCAACAAACCCAGACAAAGTGAACATGACATAAATAAGAGGCTGGTGAGGCTAAAAGTTAACTAATTTGACTAATAAATTTTGATCATTCACAACATAAATTACAGTTTTAAATTATATTATTATTATGCCAAAATGTAACTTTATTAAGTAATCTTCTATATAAAATTGATATAGGGTTATCTCTACATAAAAATATAAATATGAAACTAATTTTACCATAAACCCTAAAAATTACAGCTCAATTAGAAGTATTCTAAAGAAAAAACAAGGAGAAAAAATTGCGCCTTATGTTTTTAAAATCAATGACATCCAAACTCTCCAGGAATATCTGGATAAAGAAAAAATTACTTATGAAATTTACCAAGAACGAAAAATCAAACAAAAAAACGAACATTTTAAATTTTCTGCAAGACTTCTTCAATCTGCTGCCATATGGACCATATGGACAGATTATACCTCCTTTGCTTTTGGCTATTCTCCTCCTTTTCCCAATAATTCACTAAACTCTCTCCTTGCCACCCTTACAAATTATAGACACCTAATCTCCTCATCCCCAACGTGGCCTTCTCACTCTAGACTAAATTACACTCCACATATATAATTGATCTTCCCATTTGACCACTTCTTTATTACATATCTGTACAACATGTTAAAACCAGATTTAGCGGGTATCCGTAGCTTTGGTAATAAAGTAAATTTAGCTTATCTCATTTTTCACTAATAATATTACATATACAATTGGTTTTCCCATTTGACCACTTCTACACCTCTGTACATGTTAAAACTAGCTTCAGCTAGTATCCGTAGCTTGGTAATAAAGTCGTACAAATATCGTATCTTAAATTTAGTTACCAGGTTTATGATGTTCGCTCTACTTATTTATTTCAGTCATACGATTGATATTAAATACGCAAATATATTTTGGGAAAGTATATCTTATCATTAACGAGAGTTTATATATATGTTTTTTAATTTAGTCTTTCGACGTACCTTCAACTATTGATCAATAAAATTGCTCAACAACAAATCAACAGGGTGATATTAATATAGAAACAAATTACGGTAAATTTAAAGCCTTTCGTGTATTGAAGAGAAATTGCATAGTATAAAACACAAATGTATTATAATTAAATTAAAAGTATGAAAACCATTGCGCAAAATACATGAAATAGAATAGATTCATTTGTAACTGAGTAGTCAACTCTTTTACTATATTCACGTATTCATTGTTTGTAAATTGAGGTAAAAATACTATTTAATAATAACAAATATTGCTTGACCCCTTAGACTTATCGAACAGCAGAAACCGTATATAATACGGTATAAACCACGCTAGGGCCAGTCCAAAAACGCAAGGGTATATTTTTTTGCACGAGCTGGACCATTTGACTTGATTTTATTTTCATGTTATGATATTAGTCTTGAATTAAAATTAATAAAAACAAAATTAATTATTTAAAAAAATATATATACTAGTCCTACTCAAGTATGCATTGTGAAATTTTAAAGATTAAGTTACTTGAATGTCATAGAGAATTGGATTGATAAAGTACTCGGGCTGTCAGTTAGTAAAAACAATGTATATGCGTATGTAACGTTATCAGATTACATACTTTGACATGTAGCTGAGATGGTATGGAAAAGTATACAGTACATGTAAATAATAAACTTAAAAGAGTATATGTTAACATATTTTACATCACTATAAAACTTTGGTAAATACTATTCGAAACACCGGATTCAAACAATATACTGTATTCCCAATTATGCAAGACTGAGTTGAAGACTAATTTTGTGACTTCGCAAGAGGATTATTATTGATTATTACTGACCGCCCAACCGATGCTAGCTGGTGATATTGATATGTTACGTACATAATAAGCGGGGAAGAAAACGATATACAAGTATGTTTAGAAGCAAATAATCTTAAACTTGTTTGATAGATATACGGCACAGTAAATCGTATAAACTTGCATATGCTGTGTTGCACACAGGTTGTTTTTTTTTTTTAATCATTTCGTTTGTTCAGATAACACATATGACATTATTCAAGACTATATATACGTAACTATACATCAAAAGCTAAGATACGAATGTGATACAGTCATGGGGGCAACTCTCGTTCTCTAAGTAGTTTGATAACTTTAGGACCGCAAATTTTGCTCTCTGCCCGCTACTTTTATTTCAAAATGATATGATACATATCCACACGCTTGGTAAAGGCAATTACACGTAATTATATCTCATAGCAATAGACTTTATTTGATGCGTTAAATTAGTTTACCTTGCTATGATAACAGTTTAGAAGCATGCATTCTATTTGCGCTAGTACTAGTAAACTGCTGATGATAAATAAAACTATTATAATTGTTATATATTACGAATTAGGCTCTATTGAATCGTCATAATTATTTGAAAGAATGCTTGAATGCATAAAAATATCGTAATTTGTAAGCATAAGTTTCAATCATGCAAAAAATTCTAATTTCTAATCGTTCTTTTTTTCGAACAGAATTAAATGGTAAAAATAAAAAACAAAGCTGTTAGGAGAAAAAAATGGTAGGTGTGTAAAAAAAGTCACATAACTGCCGCCGTCGACAGTCTAGTAAAGGAAAAGAAGAATCTCGTGTGATTTGATTGCTAAACCAGAGCAATGTTATCGTCATTTTGGCTACGAGTTGTGTGATTATGCGTCATTACGTCATCACCATATTGTGTCACGTTAACCCGACACTGACCTCCCTCGCCTTGTAGTGGAATAATAATAATTTCTAACTTGTAGTCTTGTACGGTCTGATAATTCCTTGGAAATTTTCTTCCATTTTTTACCATGAATAGCGTACAAGCGCATAATAAGGTCTTTTTCCCTCTGTGAGAGCGGATTTCTGTTTACTATAAGCAAAGCAAGATGCTATAAGTACTTGTGTAATGAGTGAGACGCTATCTGCATATTTCATAATGTAGAAAACTTACTACTAGGTGACAAATGACAAGTCCACCTAAACATAAAAAAGATGTGAGTACGTAAAACATTAATCACACGCTCTATTTTAACTCAAGTCGTCTCACCTATCTTCAATCTGATTCGGTTTTCGACCAGGAACGTGGAGAGCTATTTTACTCCAGCGTCTACCAAAAACTACACGGAGATCTCGAAGCAAATCATCTTCCTGCTCGAGTAATCGATTATGAGTGCCACTATTATAGTTATATAAATTGTGTTTACAAATTACGAAAGACGAATAACACACCTCTTGGGTCCAATGCTGTCTCTTCATAGCAAAGTAGTAATGATAGTGCGTTAATAGTAATAATTTGTAAAGACTGTGATGAATTTCTTATAGATATAAGAGAAGTCTATAGTAAAGATAGAGGCAGAGCCGAAGGCAAGTGAAGCAGCCTTTTATGAGTTTATGACTACTATGAACAATTACAATAAATTAACACACTGACCATGCTAGTCTTATTCGATTCGTTCAAACGTTATATTATGATGCAGGGACTGTTTGTTTGTTATGTATCATTACCATCGATTGGTATTGCGACTACAACAAAAATATCACGAGTTTTGACGACTTTTCTTCCAAATTATGAACCACTTATATCTGAACTGCTTGCTTTACTTCTCGTTAAAGACAATGGCCCCGATATACGTGATTGTTTTATTCTCAATTAGCTGTCATCAAAGTCGTCATACTTTGTGACAAAGGGAAACGGTTTCTGAATATAATTTCAATGACATCATTTCGTCGACAATCCTTGCCGGACTGCATCGCCGGCAATGCATATTTGGTATGTTTGTATTGATCAACTTTCCATTGTGTTCAATGATCACAATTAGAAGTCATAAACAATGGAAAAAAAATGCAACCAATAATATAACTAATTTGAAATGGCTTTAAAAGGGATTTATTTGAATGGGATAATGGTTACGATTATGGTTGTGATTGACAATCCGAAGCCCACCACCCCAACATTTCATTAATAACCAATTCAATAGGTAACCAATATGTTTTCGCCAAATACAGACTGTTAAATAAAATTTTTTAATATTCAAGAAAGCGTTTTGGTTAAATATTTCTGGTCAAAGGGAAGAAAAGGCTCTAACATTTCGTCCTAATCCTCGATTTACTTCTTTTAAGCCTGTAAACGTTCCCCCTTTTGCACAGCTCCAATATATTGCATTGTAATCATATTGTTTATTACTATTACATCATTCCTCAATTTTTTATCCCCTTTTTATTTATTATCGCTGACAAATTTAATTTCCCTTGCAACACAGTGCAGCAGTGGAGTGGTTGACACGTATCCACGTGACATAACACAATGGACTACCTAATCAAAGGTTATCATGTGAGACGATTAACAGTCATAACAAGTTGGTTGATTTGGGCATTATAGACCGGCCAAAATTCCATCGAAGAATAAAATCAAGCCTTTTTGATCAAACGTTAAGAATATTCAAAATTGAAAAAGTGCTCTAGTCAACTTTTGAGACGCAACTATGAATAATGCAAAGTGTTTTTAAATTTAGTCTTAACAGAATCGCTGACTTGCCTTATTGTGCATTAAAAGTTAGAAACCAACTAACCAGAAAGAGAAGTCTCAATTTCACAAGCTTTGCGCTGGATTTGAATTTACACACAGTCAAGTGAAGTTGGTTTTGTTTTGTTTTTTGCGTTACCTGGATTATTTACTTACGAATTTACGTTCTAATCTCCAAAAAACTCTGTAAAGTGAAAGAAAAGTAATACCAATATGTGCTTTACAGGGGGGTCCGGTTCATTTCCCCGACAATTATTTCCCGAAAAGTTATCTTTTGTCGGTATTTGATTTGGACCTGTCTCAGTTCTGGACTAAAACAGGTCTCAAACTGAGGTACAACAGACTCTGGTAGCAAATTTAAGCGTTTTGATAAGCATTAACAGATTAGTGTCAAAATGATTGTCGAAGTGATTGTCGGAGAAATAAGCTGCCGGGGAAGTAATTTTCGGAGAAATAAACGGCTCCCTCTTTACAGCGAGTGTTGACGAGACTCGTAATATGTAGCAGGATTATCCTTTCTACGTGAAGAGACCTCTAACTATATAAAACAGATTGTCTTCAGTCACAACTTACAGGTAATAAAAGTTGGCCTATCTCTACAACCCTGCTTTTTTTTTGGAAGAGAAATTATAAACCTACAGATAGCAAATAAATAAACAAATAAGAATAAACGATAACATATATATTAGCTGTGAATATAGCGATCTCAACTAATTATAATGTTTTTTCAATTTTTTTCTAGATTTTGTAATTGGAATGCCATTATCATAAACATAAAAATGGGTAACTTGGCTCAATTTTTTTTACTTTGAGTAATTGGTTAAATTATAATGCGAAACACAAAAAAAATTATTTTATGGCTCACGACAAAAACATATATATGTACATTGCCAATAATAGATAAATAAGACTACTCATGGTTTATCTTATTACCATTATTTAATTATCTTTGTTGTATATCAGATCGGAATTTATGTCAATTCGGAACTGGCATGTGTCAGATCAGAATTTATGTCCGTTCGAAATTGACATATGTCAGATCGGAATAATACAGAGCATCAGTAACAATAAGAAGGTAACATACTTCAACATTAACAATATTACCTTGGCTGCTCTATATAACTAATTAATATTCATACTATAAACTGCTCGATGCTTAATTTTATATGGCTTTTAATGAAACAATCAATAGATCATTGTGAAATGAGATTATATAACCCCATGACATTTGAAATTGTGGTTTATAATATGTAACTAAACACTCGTCAATGGATGTGTCTCTTGTACAGTTAGATAAATACTGTGAGACATGTCCAAGAACTTGACACAGTAATTAGACAAGACTGAAGTAGAATGCAAACTGTATTCATGCATTATGCTATAATTCCGATCTGACATACAACAGTACCAATGCATTAGAAATGCCATGTTTTTATACTATTTATAACATCTGTGACAATGCATTTTATTCTCATTATTTTTTTACGCACAAGGAGGTAGAATAGCTTTATTAAGCAAACTGAGATATATTTATCACAAACATCGTAAGTTCTCATACACGTATATCATAATAATATTATTATCCAAATGGGCGGGAAGAAAAAAGTATTATCCCAAATTAAATCATGTACCTCTTTTATTAGTGGCCAAGTTTTCTATACATGTTAATTCAACAATTACATACGATCTTATTTCTGGCATATTAGATGCATTGCTTATAACTTATTATTCCAAAAAGACAGGATTTAGCTATACATATGTTACATAGTGCGCGCCAACTAACACGGGGAGTATAATTAACAGGTCTTGAAATTTAGCCTTAATTCCAACGTTAACTTCAGAAAGTTGTCTCTTCGACAATTGATGTCTGCTACAGCTTTCTGACTTTGTATTTTAATACGCTGTCAACAATAATTCTGGATGCAATAAAAATTGGGCTCAAACAATTCGTCGCCTATTATCTGGAGGTTTTATGATAATAACAAGTGTTTATTAACGTCATTTTATTATAATAAAATTCTCTCAAACAGTAAGCAGGATAAGTATGTATTAGAAAGACTGACGATTCAAATATCTTCAGCAGGCTATAATATTGAGACTGGCAGATGTTTCTCGCATCGCTCTTGATAATGGCGAAGTACGTGGTACTAGTATGTGGGCATCACTCGCGGAATATGACAACCGTTATATTACAAATGTGGCATCTACAACAACACGAAATCATCTTTAAAGCGCTTGGAGAAAGGACAAAACGCCCTCATTATTACTACTGAGGAGACGCTGAGGGAGTTTCAGTTGATATGGTGAGACGATTGGCCAGCAAATGCATATAGCCCTTTTGAACACAATTATCAGAGTCAGTATTTGGTAAGGTCATGTCAGGACCTTAATTCACATACTGTAATTACACTTATTATGCCAATGGTCTTTAAAATAAAAATTCGTTTGAAAGACAGATTCCCATATGGCAGTATATATTACGAATAGAAAAATAGCCTCTATCGTAACATCCCAAGCATTAGATCTTATGAGTCTGGCCACCTTGAAGAGTTTGGCTGCAAAGTTTCGTATTGTCAATCTTTCATTGTCCGTATTGTCGGGTCACCTGATTTGCGCATTATCTGCCACGTGAAAAAAAGACCAATCAAATTCTTTGAAATTTGATTCATTCATCATATCTTATTTATTCATTATCATGGGACGGTCAGTTTGCTAATTTTAAAAGCACTATTTGAGAATGAAGCATCTATGCTACGGATGTGATAAGTAGACCTGTTTAGATATCTTAACACACATCATAATATCTACACTTATTTTTAACGTATTGGTTGTGGAAGGTACGATCCCTATCGTACAGTAATTCGGATGGTTCAAAAAGTTCTTGTTCAACAATGCTCCCATCAAGATTCTTTTTTGATTATTTCTTCAACGGGAATGTTTTGTTATAAGCTTAATTACTATATACTGGTGGTCAATGATATTACTCTATCTATTAATTGGGAGATTTCGGCTGTAGAGGAGATTCACTAACTAACCAACCACCTCGGAATTATTCAACTGAAAAATATACTAGCTTCAGGCACACTTTGAGGATTTGAGAAAATCGATTTAACGGAAATTTAATTTACTGCTCATAAAGCTCAATTACGTCCATAATATTACTATCATTGCTAGTAATATCCGGCTTTTGCACCATGTCGTTGTATTGACTGCAGCAAACAAATTTAAAAATAATATTAATATTCTTTCCACCAAGATACATTGTTACCGTGATAATAACACCAGCAACGCCAAGCAGTATCTTGTATATTAAACCGTATTCTTCAGGCATATCGTTGACGGGTGGGATAGTTAGCGGAGTTGTAATAGTTGTCGTGGCTGAACAACTTAAGAAAGTGTTTACACTAGATAGAGAATAGCAGCTATTGCCTGCATATTACAATATCGTCTTATCACAGTTCAAACAAACGTTAAATACCTTTGGGTTACTGTTGACAGAGAACTCGTTCTTGTATGTGTCGATCGACCATGAAAAGTATAACTAAAAATATGAACATTTGTACGTAAGTAGCGCACATACGTTAATATCTTTGCCATATGTCAGACGCCTACCAGCAAGTGCAGGGACGGTATGCATCCTCGGAATTATTTACAGCAACAGCGTAGCTTCCAATAACAATACAAAGGCCGAGGATAACTTTAGTAATGTGTCTTTTTATCATTGAGAGAAGAGGCAAGTATAAAGAGAATTCTTCAATAGTTAAGCTTGTCAGGACGAGTATATAGGAATCTGTACTGTTATTTTGAAATGAAGCCTGATATTTATAGTTAATACTCATCGGTGTCGATAGTCATTTCACGTGACGTGACACATTGTTTATCGCACGAATATCTATATGGTAGGACACGTGTCACGGTTAGTGGCATATATTATAGTATGTTATGAAGTAACGTACTAAGTTATAGAATACGTATTACAGGGAGTAAGCTTGCTCCAACTCTTAGACCAAGATTTTTCTGAACGAGAGAGAAAAAAACTCATGTGAAAGTTGGGGTTGCCATAAGCGCGATCGCACAAAATGTGACATGTCTACAACAGTTCAACATAAGAAATACGAACACTTCCGTTATTCTTGTGCAAGTCTATAGTTTGTGCACATACATAGGAGGAATTTCTCATATTGTTGTGATTATTACTACGAAAATTATCGTGAGCCTCAGGGGTACATTATGAGCCGTTGGTTATTGGTTAGTTACACGTGGCAATGTATTTGTTTGTTATTATGGCGGGCAAAAACTCTCGCACACCAACTACTAAAAATGGCCGATTGATAATCAGCAAGAGACACATAGGGAAAACGAGTGAGATCTGGTTGCTTAGGTCAGTGTTTTTATTGTATTGTCCGATTCAACCCATTTCTCTTGCCTTTTACATTCAAACTGTAAAAAACCTGTTATCTAAATTTGATCGATTGGCTCAGCGACTGCCGTTCACTACTATTAAGATTATATATGGGGCATGCTGCAACAAAACCAGACAAAGTGAACATTTTATTATGTGAGGCTAATTATGATGTGGCTGTAAAATTGACCAGGGTGAATGATGACGTTTTGAAAAGTAATAATGGTGCTTATGGACTTGTTAATGTTCACTTTATCATACCAGAATGTGATGAATAAACCATAACAAGATTAATATAGGGTTATCTCTATATAAAAAATATTAATATGAAACTAATTTACATTAAATCCACTATGGAACCAAAGAATTACAGCACTATCAGAAGCATTCTAAAGAAAGAACAATTACTTCCTTAATTTCAATCAGGGTCATTTCTTAGGCTCTTTAACCTCAATTTGAGCAACTTGACCATTTTGTTGCTCTTTTAGTAGTTTAATTTCTTGGGTTAATTTAATAATTTGTGCCTCTTGTTCTTTAATCTTATCCAATAATTCCTGTTTCTGCTTTTTGCTCCATTCTTCAGATTTCTCTTGAAATTTGACTACTTCTTCCCTTTCAATGTTCAGCTCCTCCTTGGCAGCTTTCAATTCATTTTCAAGTTTCTTAGTTTTATTTGCTAAATGAGATTCAATAGTTTGGGACATCCCATCTTCTGTGGAGGACGTTCTGAATTTCCCATCTTTCAATAGATTGCAATAACAACCCATCCTATTTCTCTGTAGTCTACCACAAAGCTCACAATAAGAGAGGTTATTGTTTTCAAAATCTTTTTTACAATCAGCACAAATAGAGCCAATATCTGCAGTAGAACCATCTTCATGATATGCCACTAATTCATGAGTAGCATTATCAAAAACTGGTTCATCACTAATCACACAGTAATTACAATATGGGACAGATAATTTGGTTCTTTCAAAAATTCTATATTCTAATTTCTTCATAACTAATTACTGTGTAAGATATAAGTATCAAACTTTTGCTTGACATCTCCTTTAATCAAATTAACTTTCTCTTTGAGCTTTTGAATTCTTTCACTAACTTTTGTTTTTGCTTTCTTTGTCAATCTCTCAATTTGCTTTATTTTATCTTTTTTCTCATAAGCATCTAGTTTCTTTTTCAATTGGTCATTCTCTATTCTTTGTTCAATAATAGTACAATCTCTTTTCATGTTCTCTACAAAAACTCTTCTATCATGTCATTCTTTGGACTTGTCTAGTGCTTTTAAGTTCATTTCAACTTCAATTTCTACTCTTTCTTCCAACTCTTCTACTCTTATTTCCAATTCTTCTTGTTTGACTTCTAACTGTTGAATTTTTTCTTCATTTTCTCGATTTTGTTTAACCACTTTATCAAAAATTCCCTTAACTTTAAAAGTTAACTCATTCCAACTACTAATTAACTCATCTAAAGAAAGATGTCTAAGGTCTAAATAAGAATAACAACTTTTTCAATCCTCTTCATACCCATTTTCTAATATTCTTTGAGTTGTGATTGTGTCTTCTAATTTGCTTTCACTTATTCACTTTCTAAATAACCCCTTGCTTTCTTCAGAATTTAGTTTGATAAGGTTGATAAGGATGTGATATCTAGCATCATTCCTTTCACTGTAAAGTTTTCCTGTGAGATTTCAGTAATGATTAAACTTGTAAGTATAGAAAATCATATTTCTACGAATTGCTTCAGTAGGATTCCACTCACAAAACTTAGATCAACATTCTTGGTTGCAATGATACATTACTGCATCAATTGCCTTTGCATCCATATCAGAAGCACTGTAATCATTAATTAGAATACTAATTATTCATTGTCTAATTTCTTCATTATTCAACTGTTTAAATTCTTGGTCTTTTTCTTTATCAGCCAATTTCTTTTCTAGGTCAGCAATCTTGTTTAGCAACTCTTGGTTTTGTTGCTGTTGTATTTTTAAAATATTTACCATTTTTATTTTTTTAATATACTTATAGGGCTATATTAAGTATATAATTATTTTACTATTCTTTTTATTTAAACTTTAAAAATTGTAAAGTGGGAATATTAGATAGAGAATTTAACGTGGTGAGGAAATTAATGAATTTTAGTCTAAATATTTTATTCATTTCTGGTATAGGTTGGGCTTGGGCAAGTAATGTCTTTGAATTCATCTCTAACAAATGGGCGAATATTATGGTGAAGATATTCCTGTCTTTTATAATCCAAAGAAGGAGGAGTCAGTACCAGTATAGAAAAGGATTTAATTTCTCCAGTAATTTCGGAAACACTTGCTTTTCTAGTTTTCAATAAATTAAGTTCAGTAAACACACCATTAGCAACCAGCTGAGCTTTGACAATTCCAGGATTAGTTGCTTCAAAAACAAAATGCTGATACTTTTGTAAACCATTCAATTTCTTAAAGAAAATTCCCAACACGGAATTAAGATCCAAATATTGAAAGCCTTTCCCATTGTCATAATGTTGAGCCTTGTTTAATCCAGCTGTACTTGATTTTTTCACAACCTCAACAATATGATCTACGCAATCTACAGTCGTTTTGCGATATAATTTCTTAATCAGTCCAAAACTACCATCACACTTGAATTTAGTATGTCCAGGTATCATGAAATTTAATTCGATACTTTCATAATAACCGCAAATTACTAAATAGAGGTAAAATCAAATAGTGGCATTATTTTTATTCTGACCACCAGCATTATCACAAGTAATCTTTAAACGCTTTTCGCTTTTATTCAATTTCTTAATCCCATCGAATACCAGGCTTAGTGTGCCATTAGGGCCTTTGCCGATAATTTCGCCTTCGTCGAGAACATAATTAATTTGTTCGCGTACTGCTTCATCTTGAATACCAAATAAATGTACTTTACGTGGACTGAGATAATAAATTTTACTTACTTGTTGGTCGGAATGGGGAACGTGAACATTTTGTGCTCAATCATAACTGTAATGAGCAGTCGCGTCTACACTACAATAATTAGCTTTACGACTTGTTATAAAATGCTCGTCTACTAATTTTCTCGGTTTTAGCTTTAACTAGATGTTCTTTGAATTTTTTCAATAAATCTTTCGCTTCTTCTTCCTTGCGAGCATTATACTGCAAGCCATTCCGAAAATGTTGGCACGTGTCACATAAATCCGTTCTTGGACTCATAATTTGAATATAAGGTGTCATAACTTGCGGAATGCGTCATATTTTAACAATTTCAACGGGCTATCATTTTCGAGACCTGCAATAAAATCACGATAGACCGATTTATAACTCGTTTCAGCTGGCAATAGTGTAAGCGATTGAGTAATGCGACTGACATTTCTACCAGGACTTGGTAGTCCGTGAATTTCAGCATAATTTTCGAGAAAATTCTTCACGATGGTAGCAACGGTTATATCGATGGTTTTTTTGGTTTTTTATCGCGGCATTCGTTTAATGTTACCGTGAATGCGCGGTATTATACCATTCGTTGCCGGATGATTTCGGACGTTCTCGAAGTGAGTGCGGCCAATTCCTAACATATTGAGATACGTTTTCTGACAAAGTGGCGTATTGCGATCTCAATAATAAAATGTTCGCTTATTAGTACGCGTTTTCTTTCTGAGACGTCAGCTGGTGGTTATTTCTCCACCATTCATTGCTTTCAACTGGGCCATTAAAAATATATCTTGCTCAGATCTAGAGAGAGCTTGAAACGCCTCACGTAAGTCGGCAAACCTCTCTCTCGGAATCATTTTCGAGCAACCACATTTGCAACCTATCTCTAAGAAACGGATTGCTTTTTCGTATTCGGCGGAGCCATTATAATTAGAATTTCTCATATATGGGTAATCCTATATATTAATTTTTATTGCTTTGTCATTTTTATGATTGTCTCAACAATGTACTTTTGAATATAGAAATCATGCGTGATGCTGAGTGACCTGCATTTTAATCGAATTCAAGCACATTCTATAATTGTCTGCTTCGAAAAATTTAACCTCCAGCATATCCTTCTGCGGTAATAGTAAAAGTAAAAGAGATAAGCACGTGTTATTATTATTCCCAAAACGTATGAATATGATAGGAGGGCTTTCAGTTTTAAGTTTTGTTCGTATAACCTGAGGATTCATTTATTAATATGAAGCAAATTATATTCAATATGCACAGCTTATTTTCACTATTGATTTTTCATGACTTCGTCTCTGACTAATATACTAACTTATCATTTGACCCAAGTATCTAGATTTCAATGACTCTAACCAATAAATATCATGTTCACGACTCAGTTTCTTCTGATCTTCAGCCCCTGGTGGCCAATTAATATGTCGATGGTTCATGAAAGATGGATAGCAATCAATTTCTTCTTTACCCGCCCAATCGAAATCTATTAACATTCCTTGATACTGACCTTGAGATTTGCTAACTAAAATGTTGGAATCATGGAGATCAGCAAAAACAATATTTTCTGTATGCAATTTGTCAATAGCTTCTTCAATGTCCATTAAAATCGCCTTGTATTCATCATGACTAAGTGAGCTGCAGTTATAAAGTGGCTCAGCCTCAACAAAATCCATCACAACCATGTAAAAACCATCCACTATCTCTTTGTTAACATAGAGCAATTTTGGTGCTTTGCCAATTTCACTACACAGTTCATGTGCCTTCTGATTATACTGTGATGCAAATTTAACAATGATTTTCCACCCATCTCTTGTTATGGCTTTCCAAAGAAGCTTGTCATCAACAAGTTTTCCTTCATATGTAAACTCTATGATTGTATCTTGATGTCTGTATTGATTTGGATAGGGAAAAAATCGTTGTGAATTTTGTTGGTATATCTAGAGATCCATAATACTCCTTTAACCTATTGACTCCCAAGTGGAAGGCTTTGAATAATCGTGCCACTCACTCTGCATGGGCTTGATTGTTTGTAGGTATGAGAGGTATGAAGTCGGTCAAGGGATCTATAATGGGTTTCTCAATGTATACTGCCCCTAAAATGCACACCCATGGTCCAGCTAAGCATAAGATAAAAGACGGCCAGTTGCACTATTTGAGTATTTCACTATTTGTCTGTTGGGTATAATATTTTGCAAAAGAAGCTCCAGCCTGGACAGTCAGATCACAGCTACCAGTGCCAATTTCATTTTTAATCTCAACAAAGCAGTGTAAAACACTTCTTGAAAAGACATTAGATTCCAGTACTCCATCATTTGAAGAATTGTCTTCTAGATGAATTATCCTTAACTCTTCACCAAATAATTCACGAATTTTTTCTCTAAACACTTTGGAACGATCACTTTCACTGTGGTATAATTCTGCCATACCATGAATAATATCAAGGGTCCATTGATAATGTTCTCTCCTCATCTTTAGATCTTCATTATGGTAATCATGCAGGAACTGACTGAAAACATTGTGATAAACTTGTACTGGTGGACCAACACATTCTGGAGGGCGGTGAATAAGTAACTGCTTGTCCTTAATCTGGTAACCAATAAGATTACTGAGAAGTGCAAAAGATGATGGTGAAGGATAACTCCGAATCTTCTTTACATTTCTTTGCTGTTCTGTAAAGTGGAGAAATTGGTTATGACAAAAATTCTACCAATGCACAATATATACAACTAACCTTCTTCATAATTATCCAAGTTGGAAGAATGTTGCTTACTAGCTGACAAAGATCTGCATTGTAAAGCATTATTAGTTATATATATTGTTACGGTCGGGAATTTAAATTGGGATTTTTGGGAGAGCGATTTATCTTTTGTGTAGGTGTGTTCGCCGACCGGGGGATGTTACCAGGCTTAGCTTGTACTATCGCCCTTACTACGATAGTCGTGCAATTAAGACTGAATTAAGCCTCAAGTGACTATTTTAATTATGCGCGCTTTTTCACTCCCTATCCGAGTTTCAAACACTCGTGAATACAAATAAGGGTACCTCTAA